GAAACACATTAATAAACAATGAACCACGGCACTCTGGAGCAAAGTATAAGGTTGGAGAAGTCGTTATTTAATTTAATCTGGCTTCGTGTGATTAAAAGCAACACGATCATCGACCCGACGCAGTTGTTGTTGTTGTGAGCGCCGTAATGCCGTTGGGGAGCAAATCAGTGATGTAAACGATGACGTCATGACGCAGCAGCGGCAGCACCAGTCGGGTGCTGGGCGGTGTGAACAGAGCGGGAGCAGAAAAGGGAAACCGGAGCTGAACCAGAAAAGCTCGGAGCTAGAAAGGGAAAAGCGCTGGTGTGAAAGCCGCAATAGACATTTCACAGAAAATTGACGGCATACTAAACTAAACTAAAATAGCATATAACAAATGCATTTAGATTAAAGGTACATTGATGAAATTGTGCAATAAAAGGGGGATAATGCTAATAATAATAATAATAATAATAATGCATTACATTTTTTATTAGAGTGCTTTTAAATTGTTTAAATGTTTTGGTTCAAGCCACCGCTTCACATTTGATATAGTCATTTGACCAAAGACTATTGATTTGTGCACCTTCTACTTTTTGGGTTATCCCCTTATCTAAGCGTCTTTGGGTTCAAGAAAAGCGCTATAGAAATAAAATGTATTATTATTATTATCTTGTCCTCTCCATCTAATTCCAGTTAGTCCCCAATTTGCAGGGAAGAGCATTGAACTTGACCTACAAGGAGCATCATTTTTCAGACATGTCTTGTATCTGGATTGCTTTCTGATCTTTTATTTTACTCTTGTTCTTCGTTACCCTTCTTCCTGTTTGACCGACTTGTGATGATCAACAGGAGGAGGTAGCTTTACCTCTTTCAACCTGAGCAACTGTCACAAAAAATATCATTTTATGTTCAACACTGAGTCTTTGATGTCATCCCACTCTACTAAAGCAGCACTACTCTCGCTGTTATTATAAGAACAACCCACAATGGACTCGGAGATGTGAGGTACAGTGTCTTTTATTACATGTGTTAAAGGGCATTGTTAAAAGGGTGCTTTATGAAGCTTTTAGTGCTACCTTCATCATGTTTCCCTTTACAGCTCAGGTCATTGTTCAGCTCTACTGAAATGACACAATCATGTCTGTTATATCATGTACTATTTTAGACCTCGCTGCAGAAAAGGGATCCACAGCCGCTGATAAACAACCTTTTTAGGGGACACTGACACGCTTTTTACTTTCATATTCTGTGAGCTATCAGACCTGGATCTATCAGTTCCCCCTGGAGAAGAGCTTCACACACCAGCTGAGAAATAAACAAGCCTGTGTGTGAATGTAGGCGATCAATATCCATATACTTACTGCCAGGCCCACTGAGAGGATTTAAAGGTGTCATCATCAGTGGTCGTAAATACCTTTTCCCCCATTCTGGCAGAGGGATCAGAGTTAATAGGTTTAACATATTGCATTTCATTTCATAAGCTCTTTGTGAATACTGCATGCGTCCATTAGTTCTTACACATTTGTGTGAATGAGAAATGGGTTACGGCTGTCATCATGAAATATTTAACATTTCTTAACTGTGTGTTTGATATTATTAATATTTTCTTTAAAGGGGCCCTATTATGCTTTTAGGTTCATATTTGTATGTAGTGTCTCTACTGTGACATGTCTCCATGCTTTCATGTTCAGAAAGATCTTCATTTTTCTCATACTGCCTGTGCTGCAGCACCTCTTTTCACCCTCTGTCTGAAACCAGAGCCCAGGCTGCTCTGATTGGTTAGCTGGCCGGCTCTGTTGTGACAAAGGAGTCCAATGAAGGCTTTTCAAGTGTGGGAGAGGAACTTTGGGATTTTAGCCTTTGCAGATCATTAACATGCACAAAAACCTATACAACACACAGGCAAGGGAAAACCCCAAAAAGCATAATTATTTTCAGTCAATATTCACATGTGGTTTTAACCAGTCTTCCAAAGTCTGCTCCGATTGGTTAGCTGGCCGGCTCTGTTGTGATTGGTCAACCGCTCAGAGATGTCCCGCCCCTTACTCTATCACGTACAATGTGTTGGAGTGCTCCAACCAATAAAATGCTTTCCAGCCATTCAGGATTTTAGCCTTTGCAGACCATTTACATCGGGGGTGTCAAACTCAATTTCATCGCGGGCGACATTTGCATAAAGGTTGCACTCAAAGGGCCGGTTGTAATTATATAAATATATAATATATATATAAAATAATGTATTATATTACATTATTGCCTCTGAATTGGATTATTATCGGATAGGATAATAACTTAGTAATTATCTACGTCTGAAAGCAGAAGTCCAGGGCAAATAATTGCAAGTCTCTTCAGTGCGCATGTCACAAAACGAGATGCATTGTGGGACATGTAATTTATGGGCAACATGCTTCTGTAAAGTGGCATGTAACCGTATAATAAACGTATTATATTCCTTGCAAGCTCTTGCGGGGCCGTATAAAATGAAGTCGCAGGCCGGATTTGGCCCCCGGCCTTGAGTTTGAGACCCCTGATTTGCATGCACACAAACCTACAGTATATAACACACTTCAGGAAAGGGAAACCCCAAAAGCATAATGGGGCCCTTTTTTAAATCTTTATTGGGAGAAAAGGTTTTTAAGAGAGCCTCCCTGAATACCAATGAGTTCATTGGAATGGATTCACATTACCATAATAAACCAATGATCTAATAATGGTGTTTTAATGCTTAATTTCTTTATACATTTGTTTAAATCCCTGCTTAATGCATTTTTCTGCCAATGTACTTTAAGTTGTTTAATGTAATCCATTAACAAGTTAAAACACAGAAGTTTTCCAAATATAATCATGTAAACAAAAATATATTTCCATATCCAGATTAGATGGATAGATACATAGATTTGTTTTCCTTTTTCTTATTATTTAGATTTTGAAAGCCAAGTATTTGAGAAAGGAAGAAACTAAAAGTTTGTCAATAATGAGGAAGTAGATGGAAGTGTATTTTGAGTCCCTGCTTCGTTTCTCCACATGTGCAACAAACATATCACGTGCATTAATCAGCTCGCTGTCTATATGCTAAACAGCGTTGACAAACTGCTGTTTAGCATGTCTGTTGAATGTGTAGCCGCTCTGAAAGCAGAGAGTGTTTCAGTCGTAACTCAGAGCCCCATCGGGACTGTCTGTTTTCCCTTTCCTGCTCCAACTGATCGATTATAATTCCATCCTATTCAGACAATCATTAATTCTTAAAGCGCCTCAGACCGGCTGCAGGGCGGCTTGTGATGTTGAGACAGTGAGCGGATCCCCTGAGGGATGATATCTACAGCACGGGGTGTTTTTGTCCTGTAACACACACTCTGCAGCGTGACAAACACATCTCCTCCAGCACTGTAGTTCTCTTGAGGAAATGGAGCAGAGTTTTTCCGTGCTCCTGAACACCCTTTTCTGCATTTTCTCTCAAACGTTGATGTGTAAACGTGAGAACAGTCCTCTGAGGTGATTCGTCAGGGCTGTAGAAAACTATAAATTCTCAGCGTTGTGCTCCGGATGTCATTTTTTTACTTGAATCTGAACACACCTGCAGTGGTTGAGAATGTTGACATTTTGCAGCCAAAATAAGGACAAAAGGCCAAACTCTAAACCACAGAACTCAAAACTACCATGATCCTATATTTTAGAACTTAACTAACACTTCACATGTATTTTTACGTCTGTTGTTTCAAACTTTTCTTATCTGTAGAATAAGACTTTATTTATCCTACATTGGGAATTGTTTTTGTTGCAGCAGCATTTAAAACAAGTATTGCACACAATTAGAAATAAAAAAATAGTAGAAAATAAACAATTATACAATATAAACATCTCAAAATAGAAGATGTATAGAACTTAAAGATTGAAAATATAATAGTTGACCGTGAAGAAAAGATATGTAAACTCTATTGAAGTGGCATATTAAATTAAATGTACAATGAGAAGTTATAACTCCAGTTAAACTTCTGTCAGTAAAGAATTTCAGAAAATAGTGGTTTCTTAGATGTGACCTCTTCAGATTGCTGGTTTTATAACAAAACGCAGTTGAAAACTCAACAATATGCAATTTACAATGATGTTGAATCAACTTATAGGCTGGAATAAATTGATTTAGCTCAATAAATTCAATTTAAAAGTGTCATACTGTCAGAAAACTACGAGCCAGCATACTTTTTTCCTTCTTATGGTGTCATTTATTGTTATTTTCAAATATTTGCGAACACATTTTGTTGCATGAGATCTCCCTTTATATGTACCAAAGAGGATTAGTGTCACACATTTTTTTGAGACCCCAACAAAAGTGAGTTCTGAGATTTAAGACAGAATCCTGGCTTTTTCCTCTTTAGTTCATTCACTGCAAACCTTCAGTGTAAACATCAATACACCACAGCAGTCATTGTCTACTCTTTGCTGTGAGGCATTCATGCTCCTGTTGAAATGGAGAAACACACACACACACACACACACACACACACACACACACACACACACACACACACACACACACACACACACACACACACACACACACACACGCACACACACGCACTAATTGTGACCCCTCATTCCTCCACGTGTTGTTTTCCCTGTCGAATGCTTTGACGCTGTGCTAGAGGCTTAGAGCGACTGGCCGAGTCTATAACTGATGGAGGCCCTGCCTGCACTGTCCAGCTTTTTGTGCTGAGCCCGACTTTTGATTGCTCTACAGGACGTTTTGGGTGGGGTTGGGGAGGGTGGGGTGAGGGGGGGACGTCCCACAGCCAGCCCTCACAGCCAGCCCTCACATTCTACACTGGGCTGGGAAAGTCATGGACGAAATGCCCATGAGGGTGGAGAACCTGTAATCCCACTACGCCTCCGGGGAATGATCGGCTCGTGTCGGCTATACTGGTGCTCACAGTGGGGGTGAAAATCCTCAGTGATACCCTCACAGAGATTTCACTGGAGCTAATTTTGTCTCCTCTCTCTCTCTCTTTCTTCTGTCGCTTCAGTCATAACCAGAGGACCACGGCGTTTCGCCATCCTGTGAGCGGGCAGATCTCTGCGGAGAACATGGATTTCATCCTGCAGGAACAGTGAGTTATTACTTTTTGTTCCCACTTATCTGCAGCCCATTACCTCAAATAACCTGTTGAAGAAGAGAACATATATATTTGATGTCCAATGCTTTGTGATACTTTGACTTTCTCCAGGTGGTTTGATATTCTCAATGCTAAAAATGGCCCATTAAATTCTGTGTTTCCATCTCTGAGTTGAATGCTATGCTGTGACTGGGTTATTTTATCACTTCCTAAAAAGTGATGTTGCTGAAAATGAGGCAAATCTAAAAGGATTGAAGGAAAATGCTCTTCTGCCCTTGTAGTTGACTGTTTCATGAGTTTGTGTCTGAACTTCTTTTTCACTGTGACTTCTTACCCATGCCTTAAAAGCAATCATTTACATATTTCTTCTCAAGTTAAGCCAACTTTATTCAGTGGGTATCCAGCAGCTTTAAAGAGAAAAGGGTCTTGTTTTCAGTCAGGACGTGGGCCTTTTATTTCCCTTCTTTTTGAATAGATAAACCCGGGTTGCGGTCGAATAGTCCAAAAATCAGCTCCTAACGTCTAACCCTATCGTCTATTCCTTGACCTCTGTGTGAAACGTCACGGGGTTAAGGGAAAGTGGATAGGAGAATTCAAAAGGACTTAGGAGAAGAGACTGCGGTACTTTAGAGAATCCGAATGCACTTTCACTTTCCGACGTGTTTATGATGCGCCAGCGGACGTCATGATTGTGCGTCTGCTGCTGTGGGGTAACCATGGAAACTACAGTTCTCTATACAGAGGACTACAACATGGATGTTCAATAAGAACGAGGGACTACTGTAAACTCATCTAGAGACTCTGCACCGTGCTCTGATGCTGTTGTTTTATGCTTTATGAACGGGGACAACAGAGAAACATATTCTTCATGACCAAAGTTGGAATTGAAATAAAAAAGGAAAGTGAAACTTATGCTCGTCACCCTCTCCCTCCGGTCCACATTAATACAAATGATCCCAATACGTATGATTGTATGAACTATGAAAAGATCTTAAAATCAATACAGGTGTATTTATTATAAACGTTAGTCCTTAACATCTATCACTGTGTATATCACCATTCAAACATCTTTTAAAAGTTGAACAAACTCCACACAGCTCAGTAAAGACTGTGAGATGTTGACTTTATTTGATCATTTCAGTAAAAACTAACGTTCATATTTCTCTTTTTGATTATAATACTGATGAACGTTCAGAACAAAGCACTTTGGCAACTTACCACATACGTTTTAAAATGCTTAATAAGCACCGTAACTTTCATGATATCATTTCTCGGTCATAATCGGTTGTTTCCGTGAACGGCCGACTGTTGTGGTAAATACTGCGGCTGCAATGCATTGTGGGGCAGCATTTTCTCCTCTCCTTTCGTCAAGGGAGGTCCAGTGGTTCCTAAGCTAAAGGAGGTTATAAAGGAAGTTTGAAACCTCCTTTCCTATCATCTAGAGCAGTGGTTCTCAAACTTTTTTCAATAATGTGCCCCCTTTGAAAAAAGAATTCAGCCAAGTACCCCCTGATCAGCGCAAAAACAATGTTAGGGACAAAATGCCTATATAAAGAGGTACAGTACAGCGCTGCACCATCAGTGTCTGATTTATTAAAACAACAACATTGTAACTGAGAAAAACTTAAATGTTACATTTCAACATTTCAAATGTTTACAATCCATCACTAAATTCATGGCAAACCAATTTTAACATCATACAATAACACTAAGGCGACATTAGTTGCATTGAACTGATCTTTTTAATAAGTTGTACAATGTAGTGAAACATGGGCTTGTGCTTCACTGAGGACCTTTGTCATTCTGACAGGGAGGCAACTGCAGTTATTACACTTTGCGTTTTGAAATATGTGTAACTCTGCTCAAACTTCGTTACTTTTCCTAAAATTGGTATATTTATTTATTTTGGGGCGTGGGGAATGAAGAGAAAAAAACATATGAGCATTTTATGAGCATGGGATTTTGACCCCTCATATAAACAAATGCATAATGCTGCGCTATACTTTGCGGCCACACGCCGTTGCCAAGCAACTCTTATTGTTTAGGTCCTTTTGAAAAGCAGGCAGTCATATAATTAACTAGAACTAGCTAGATCTGATAGATTTGGACATAGACGCGAGTGAAGTCTAACCGGACGCGAGAGAGAGATCAGAGATCAGATCAGCTGCTGCTGACAGAGAACACGCAGCTCCGCATGATCACAGCTCCGCCACTGTGACGGACCGGTGAGCGGACCAAAATACACTAAGAGTTAGACCTAACACACTACATCTACTCTGGAACTAGCTAAACTAGTTATAAATATATGTATTTTTTACTGTCGGGTCACTTATTACAGGTTCAGCGAGCTGCACGAGACTGACGGGCTGTCAGGAGAGGGAGAGGAAAAGAGAGCACCCCGTTTATTTTTCCCATTTTATTATCCAGAATTACTGTAAACCTTTGAATAAAGTAGTTAATCTACTATTAGTAGTTTGTTGAAATGCATTAATTATGTTTTGTTTTTTTCATTAACATAAAATAAATCTCACGTACCCCCTGCAGTACTCCAACGTACCCCTAGGTGTCCGCATACCTCCATTTGAGAACCACTACTCTAGAGAATTCGAACGGCACTTATCATGGCTGCCACTGACGTACTTCCGGGTCATTTCACTCCGTTAGGAAGGTTCCGAAGCTAAATGGACTATTTGACCGCAAACCCAATGTGTTTTTACTGTCTGGTGTTATAGCAGCGCTCAGTAAAAGCTTGATCTGCATTGCTGTTTGGACCATTGGAGTTGAAAAGTGTTGAAAAGTGGAGTTGCTGCTGAATGTACTTCTTGTTGCATCCCGTTCTTTCTTAAAGTAAGATGAGAAAATGTATACCACTGACTTGTTTGTCAGTTAAATAAACAGCTGGTTAGCTTAGCTTAGCATAAAGACTACAGTTAGCAGGATAAAAGACCTCATGATGATTTGAAAACTCCAGGAAGTCATTACTCCCAGCAGAGGAATAGTAACTCACATTTGCCATACATACAAACATGTATTTTGTATTTTATCAGCTGGTTTTGTCTCGAGGCCTTGAGCGTCACAGGATTTGAGTTGTGTTATCTTCTCATCCGTCCCTGACAAGAAGGTGAATAAGTGTTTACTGGAGTGTGTTTTTGTGCCCTTGTGTGTTATGGCCAACTTTATCCCCGGAACAGGGACATGTTTGCACTTGTCAGCTACCGCAGCCTTCGATGTCTGTGCAGTTGGTAGATAATAACGACAATTTGTTTTTTAACCAGAAGGTTTTTCACTGCGAGTCCAAATTATTAAAATGTTTTATTTAAATGAAGGTTTATCACTGGTGAGTGCAGTTCTCTCTGGAACAAACACACTGCCTGTTTAGAGGTCATTGCACTCAAAAGGCTTTGTGTATGAAAGGTTTTCCTGCCAGAGACTAAACCCACACCAGACTTTCACCACAATGGAGGCAATCTCTAAGGTCTCAGTTACAATAAAATGGTTTGTGATGCAGCACTGATGAATCTTTCATAGCAAAAGCTCCACAACAATCCAAAATCAACAAGAGAAAAAACACTATTCGGGAAGGTTTGCACAGGGATTTAGAATTTGAGTGTGTGTGTGCCTTTGTCAATCCTGTATGAAAAACAACATCTTGCTCCTGGCACTGTGCATCAGTTTTGGTGGAAGATAACAGTAATCATATTGCAGGGAAATGGTTGAAAGTGTTTCAATGTTTTCAGTTCTGCGGTCCACTTTCTGGATACAGCTCTGTTTATTCTAGCTCTTTTAGCAAGTCAAATGTACCTGCCGAAGCCCTCAGGAGGTGAATCTGAATGTCAGCTTGCAGAATACATCTGGGGCCAGCATTAAACTCTCAAACATCACACTTGAATTCATACCTTTGCAGCAGTCATGGTGATTTGTTCGATATTTGACTTGCATGGCTGTAGAAATGGAAGGGTCAAAACGCTGGGGAAATGTGTCTATGATCCAAAAATGACAACAACATGACCCTACCATTCAGAGCTCTAACATTTAGAGCCTTGAATATACTTTGTAACTTCAAGGCTCTAAATGGTGTTGCAAATTAGGGCTGCATGATATTGAAAAAAACTGACATTGCGGTTTTTTGTTCCCCTGCAATATGTATTGTGTTTTTTTTAACCTGTTAAGCCCCAAGGTCCCGGCGGGTACTTTACTTTTTTTTTCACGACCCTGTGTCTCAGGGGATCTTAATATTTAAGAACCTATTAATGTGTTATACCAGATTAACGGAAACTAAAATCCACCGGGTCCGTCTGTGGCGCGTTACGGCTGCGCCGCGGCGTTCACAGCAATCGCGGCCACTCTAGTCAATGGGTGCTATTCCTCCAGACGCGCCGCGTTACGGCTCAGAAGCGTCCCAGGCGCTGGGCTCCGCTAAAAATAGGATGCAAGTCTATTTTCGCGAGGCGTTGCATAGCGCCGGGCAGGAAGTGGAAATAAACTAATTTTGCAGACCCCCCTCTTTCAAGTAGCAGGAGAAATGCTATCGTTCTCCTCCGGTTTACAGGCACTGTGTCAATTATATATATAGAATAATTATGATGATGAATGCATTTTTTACCACTAAAATACAGCAACACATCTTTGATTCATGTCGTTTATAACTGGAATATTACAATTATTATGAACTTTGTCTGCACAAAGTAGCCTGTCCAGGAAATATGCCCAAATCAACAAAAACTGCGAGCCGGCATGCAAGACGCTTTTTATCTTTGGTTTTAAATCCAGCCCCTAAATGTATATTGATAAATTGAATATATGTCATCTTTCAACTTCTCTCCGACATGGCCATTTTTAATTTGACTATCTTATACCATTTGTTCAGTTTCAATGTGATATATAACAACATGCACAAGAGACACTTTTGCACACATTTAACAAAAAAACTCAAACAAAAGCACACAGTTTGGATCCGACATGGACATACATAAACATTTAACTAAATTGTATAA